TATCTAGCTGGGCAACAAAGCAAGACTCTGTCTCAAAAAAAAAAAAATGTATTTCTGTTGTTTTAAATTTAAAGTGATATGCACACCTTCAGCTTTTTTGATCGTCTGTCAATTGATGTAGTACCCACTTGAAAAATTTTTCTCTTCCTTTTCATAACTAGGTCTTAAGAAACTCATTGCTGAAACTCCTAAGTCTGCTAAAAGACCTGAAACTTTTTGTGGGTTAGCTTCTGCTGGGTCTTAATTGATCTTTGTTTAAAAATTGGGCGGGCTGTGGCTCACCCTGTACATCCTAGCCTTCTTGGGAGGCCAGGCGGGCGGATTGCTCAAGGTCAGGAGTTCAAAACCAGCCTGAGCAAGAGCGAGACCCCGTCTCTACTATAAATAGAAAGAAATTAATTGGCCAACTGATATATATATATAAAAAAAAATTAGCCGGGCATGGTGGCCATGCCTGTAGTCCCAGCTACCGGGAGGCTGAGGCAGAAGGATCACTCGAGCCCAGAGTTTGAGGTTGCTGTGATAGCTAGGACGCCAGGCACTCACTCTAGCCTGGACAACAAAGTGAGACTCTGTCTCAAAAAAAAAAAAAATAATAAATAAATTTTGGGTCTCCATTGATGTTTATTTTATAAAAATAATTTTCTTATTTAAAAATTGATATATAGTTTACATATAAAATTCACCCTGCGTGAGAACAGTGCCTCATGCCTGTATACAATCCCAGCACTTTGGGAGGCTGAGGCAGTAGGGTTGCTTGAGGCCAGGAGTTTGAGACAGCCTGGGCAATATAGTGAGATCCTGTCTCTACAAAAGATTTAAAAATTAGCTGAGTGTGGTGGTGAGTATCTGTAGTCCTAGCTACTGAGGCAGAGGCAAAAGAATTACATGAGCCCGGGAGTTTTGGAGGTCACAGTGAGCTATGATCGTGCCACTGTACTCCATTCTGAACAATAGAGTGAGACTCTTTCTCAAAAAAAAAATCACCCTTTGAAGGGCTGGTTTTGAACTCCTGACCTTGAGCAATCCGCCCGCCTCGGCCTCCCAAGAGCTAGGATTACAGGCGTGAGCCACAGCGCCCGGCCTAAGCTCATTTTTTATTCAGTACCCAAAGTGAAATTTTTTGAACCATCACCAAATAACTCTTTTGTCATCAGAACCCTCTCTGAAGGCCAAATTGCTGTTTCTACCTGCCTTATTATATCACAGTTTAAATTCATATAAAACAGTATTCTCAATTTTACCATATTTTTATTTCTATGGCCAAAAAAAAAAAAAAAAGGCCAGGTACAGTGGCTCCCACTTGTAATCCCAGTACTTTGGGAGGCCGGAGCTGGATGATTGTTTGAGCCCAAGAGTTCAAGACCAACCTGAGCGACACAGTAAGATCTCATTTCTACAAAAAATAAGAAAAATTAGCCAAGTTTGGTGGCATGTACCTGTAGTCCCAGCTACTTGGGAAGCTGAGGTGGGAGAATGCGTGAGCCCAGGAGTTTGAGGCTGCAGCGAGTTATGATTGTGCCACTGTACTCCAGTCTGGGTGATAGAGCAAGACCCCATCTCGAAAAACCCCCCAATAATTAGAGAAATTGAAGATCACAATTCATCATCAGTTCTAAATAGCACAATCAAGAATATACTTTATGCTAGTTTCACTTATATTTAATTTTCAACTGGTCAAATATTGTCTATTTTATATTATTTAACCTAATTGAATAGTGGAATCAGTTTGACCTGCCTTTGAATCTTGGCGCCTCCACTTATTAGCTGTATTGTTTAACTATTCTGTTACTTTGTTTGCTCAGTTATATAATGGGGCTATATTGGTTCTACCTGATAGGGTTCTTACAAAAGTTAAAGGAGTTAATGTTTATAAACCACTTGGTGAAATACCTGGCACATAGTAGGTGCTCAGAGAAAGGTACCTTTATTAGTACCAGGTCATATATGTATATATACACACACACATACCTGTTTATGAGAGAGAAAAATTGGGACTAGCCAAGTTCAGTGGCACATGCCTGTAGTCCCAGCTACTTGGGATGCTGAGGCAGGAGTATCTCTTGAGCCCAGGAGTTTGAGGCCAGCCTGGACAACATAGCAAGATCCTGTCTATAAAAGAAAAAAGGAGAAAAAAAAGAAAACATTGGCTACACATTATTTTGTTTTTTATCTAATTATACCCAAAGTGAATTCATTGATATATTTCTAGCATAAGGTCACTAGTAGTCTTCCTTAGGACTCTGCTCTTGACCCTGCTGGTTAACGTTTTTATCCTTAAATAAATGGATTTTGAGCTTAAATAAAAATACAGAAGACATGATTATCAAATTTATAAGTGTTACATAGCTGTTGGTTGGCAGATTGGGATTTTAATAAAATCTCAACAACCTGTAAAAATGTACTATAGCTAGAGAGTTAAAATTTAATAGAGGTAAATTCAAAGCCCTGAATTTAATTAATAAAAAAGTCAATCACTTAAAAATAGGATGAGTGTTACTTAAAGTTTTCTGCAAAAAGTTCAAATGAAAAGTATAGGAATGAATAGGTGGAACACCGGGTTTTTAGGTTAAACTATTCTGTATGTTACTGTAATGTTGGATACATGTCATTTTACCTTTGTCAAAATCCATAGAATAAGCAACATAAAAAGTGAACCCTATTGTAAACTACAGACTTTAATAATGTGTCAATATTGATTCATTAATAGTAATAGATGTATCACAATAATACAAGATGTTAATAATAGGAGGAACTATGTATGTGGGGAGTGGTGAGGAGGTATATGAGAACTGTGAACATACTGCTCAGTTTTTCTATACACCTAAAACTGCCCTAAAAATTAGTCTATTCATTTAAAAAATATAGATAGATAGCATACTGAGATAAGGCTACCAAAAAGCTACTGTAGTTTTGCCTAAAGAAGGTAGTATTGCTACTATATGAGTATTTTATTTATTTTTATTTTTTTTGAGACAGAGTTTCACTTTGTTGCCCAGCTAGAGTGAGTGCCGAGGCGTTAGCCTAGCTCACAGCAACCTCAATCTCCTGGGCTCAAGCAATCCTTCTGCCTCAACCTCCCAAGTAGCTGGGACTACAGGCATGCGCCACCATGCCGGCTAATTTTTTGTATATATGTTTTTAGTTGGTCAATTAGTTTCTTTCTATTTTTAATAGAGACGGGGTCTCGCTCAGGCTGGTTTCGAACTCCTGACCTTGAGCAATCCTCCCACCTCAGCTTCCCAGAGTGCTAGGATTACAGGCGTGAGCCACCGTGCCCAGCCTATATGAGTATTTTAAAAGGAAACTAATATGATGAATGATTTGGAAACCATGTCATAAGAAACCAAGAGAACTATGAATATTTCCCTGGTTAGGAGAAGACTTAGTGATGGTAATATAGTTGCCTTTTGATGGTTGAAGGACCTTTAATGGAATAAACAACAGACTTGTTGCAGACATTGTAAGCAAGAAGTGGTGAGTGTTATAGGCCAGCACATAAAGTTTCTACTCATGAAAAATAAATAACTTTTAAAAGTAGATAGATTGTGGCCAGGCGTGGTGGCTCACGCCTGTAATCCTAGCACTTCTGGGAGGCCGAGGCGGGCAGATTGCTCGAGGTCAGGAGTTTGAAACCAGCCTGAGCAAGAGTGAGACCCCATCTCTACTATAAATAGAAAGAAATTAATTGGCCAACTAACATATATATAGAAAAAATTAGCCAGGCATGGTGGCGCATGTCTGTAGTCCCAGCTACTTGGGAGGCTGAGGCAGCAGGATTGCCTGAGCCCACGAGTTTGAGGTTTCTGTGAGCGAGGCTGACACCACAGCACTCACCCTAGCCTGAGCAACAAAGTGAGACTCTGTCTCAAAAAAAAAAAAAAGTAGATAAATTGAGATGACTCAAAGTAATGAGCTCTCTACAGTTATTGAAAGTAGTCAAGCAGTGACTAGATACCTGAAAAATACCTTTGTTAGTGGTTTAATTTAATTACTGCTGAGGTCCTTATGACTCATGAGATTATAGAATTCCTTGACTTTTGCCAGTGAGGTCTGTTACTCCGGTGATTAAATGAAAAGGAACAACATGTGAAAAAAAATGTAGCACTTGGTGTCACTGTCAGATAGGAAAATTAGGATGCTCGATGTGATGGGAAGGAGTTAATGCTGGTTGTTTCTCTAAGGTATATCAGGGCTTCACATAGAGAATCTAAAGGACAGTTGTATGTGTGTGTATATGCATGTCCATACATGCACACATAGATTATATACTGCCTTTATGTATATACACATATATGTGTGTACATAAATATGTATGTATATATGGATACATATGTATAATAAATACACACATTATAACTCAGAACTAATTTCTGCCATATGTATTTTCACTTTTGGTGTAAAATACTGTACTTATTTTAAAATGGTTTTTATAATACTATTTTTTTAAAACTCATTAACTGTTTTTTCCATTAACTTTTTATACTCACTGTATAGAGTGCTGACATTTGCTTTGACTTCCTGACCACAGTGCTCTATCTTACTCACTGTCATCTCACTTGCTTCTCTGAAGAACAGGAAATTATCAAAATGATACCAATCATTTTAACTCAATATAAGTTTAACTGTTTTTGTCATAATAGTTTTCATACTTACTGAATAATGCTATATTTATTCACAAAAAAATGTATTGGTACCTTTCTTGTCACTTAAACAGAGACTAATAAGGAAATTTCTCAGAAATAATTTTTATTATCGGGAAATTTAGCACCCCAGAGTATAATTTCCCTAGTTTTTTTTTAGTAAGCAAATTTTTATTAAATACAGGTGAGATCCTATGTTTTCTACTTTAAAATTGAGGATGGAAGGGGAATGGAGATTGTTTATAAGGAAGGTAAATTTGGTGTATCTGTATAGCAGTCTTCTGGTTTTAGTTTTGTTTTTTTAATCTTCCTCATTCATTTCTTTTTTTAAATTAATATTTGTTTTCTTTTTGACAGGCAGTGATGGTTTCAGAAAATTTTAATATAGAAGCTCCTAATTATTTGTCCAAGGAAACTGAAGTTCTCATTTATGCTAGACAAGATTCACAGTGCATTGATTGTTTCCAAGCCTTTTTGCCTGTGCACTACCGCTATCATCGGCCACATAGTAAAGATGGAGAAACCTTTGTCATAGTCAATAACCCAGATTTGTTGATGTATTGTGACCAAGGTGAGGGTTACAAGTCTTTTCTGAGAGTTGAAAATAAGAATAAAGGTATGGTGGCAATTCTGCAGTTTAGTACAAGGATGGCAAAAGCATGTTACTTTTTTCTTTTTAACTTTTTGATTGTAAAATAAAGCACAGATATAGAAAAACTATACAAATACATAGTTCAGTGAATTATTATAAGGCAAATACCTTTGTAACTACCACCAAGGTAAAAAAATAGAACTTTACCAGCTACTCTAGCAGCAACTTCATGGATTCTGTCCCAATCAACCACCTTCTTCCCTCTAAGACTAATTCACTATACTGGCTTTTAATAACTTCCTTGTTTCTTTATACTTTTGTTAAAGATGGACATTCTTAAATATTTTACCTTAGTCTTTTCCATTTATAAAAATCTGTTATTTCCATTAAGTCTTTTAATTTACAGATTTCCCTCTATCTCTTTCCTTTCTTCAAAACTAATCTATTGAAAGTAGAGTTTCTCATAGTTGGGGTTTTGCTGATTGTACTAATGATGCAATGCAGTTGATCATGTTCCTCTGACTTCTTTATTTTCTTGAAATTGGCAGCTGACTGCAGAGGTATGATCAGACTCAGGTTTGATTCCTTTGACAAGACTATAGGTGGTGCTATGTTCTTTTATCAGTAGTCATATAAGTAGTCATATAATATGTGCTTTTTTTTTGTAACATTGATTTACATTGCCCCTTTGCTGCTGCTTCTTCATTCTGGTATTGCAGGACTTGTGGTTTTGGCGTTTTGTTTCCATTTGCATGTATTTTGGTGTTTGAGTGGATACTTTATCACTGATGTTATAGCAAATTTTATCTATTATGAGTTTTTGGTTTTGCTGTATAATTGTTCTTTCTCTTTTTATGTGGGGATTGGGGTAAATATAAAAAAACTATATTTTTGCCTTGCAGTCTTCTCAGAATCAAGACTTTTTCTTTAGTTTAAGAAGCCCCTTTCATCAAGTAGAACTCTGAAATAAATTATACAAAAAAACCCAAAAAACAGCCCCTTTCAGATTTTGGTTCTTTCTGTCTCCAAATTTGGGCTGACTTAGAATATTTATAAAAGTTAGTAGCACTGTTACTAAAACCTGGAGATGGGAAGTTTTTACTGGTACATTTGCTACCATCGTACCTTTCATGATGAGAAAATTTTAGTATATGTGCTGCTGAAGCAAGCACCATGATGAGAAAACTAAAAAGTGTTTAGCTATATTAGCTTTGCTCATCCAACCTAGTTTTCTGTTTCTATTAATGGTACCCACCTGAGAGCACATCAGGGGTTTTGGTATCGTTCTGTTTTTTTATTTGAATGCTCTTCTATGGGTTTGTTTCATATGGAAATTTATTGATGTCTTTCACTTTTCTGAATGTATATTATATGTCACAAAAAAGTTTACATTAAATTTTTAGAAGAGTAGCCCCTAATTTGAATATACTGGGATTTGTTAAGAAGTTGTGTTCAACTTCTGCAAAACCTTTATAATTTTATAATTCTTAGGCATATACTAAAAAAGGATGCTAAAATAACAGTATGTGATAGATGGGTCCAAATGATGTATGTAATATATTAAAATATTTGAATATTTTTATCCTAACATAAAAGACTCCTATTGAGATTTAATAGAAGCCTAGATTTGAGTCCTAATAAAGGTTTTCTAACATCATTTTCTATCACTTTTTTCAGAGTTCCCAATTTTGAAATGCTGGGCACAGTCAGAAGTGGCAGCTCCTTGTGCTTTGAAGAATAGGGATATCTGCCAGTGGAACAATATGAAGTATAAATCAGTAAGCTAATATTTTATGTTGCATTTAGATCATGCTGCCTCATTTAAAACTCCTTCTATGTTTTTGCCACATTTAATGGATTAGCATTTATATTCTAACATATAAAGTTGTTTTTTGTTTGTTTTTAATGTTTCTTTGCTTCTGATGATAACAGTATTTCCTTATTTGGGTAAAATCACAGAATTACTTAATTTTGGGGCTGGAGATTTAGGGTTAGTCCTATGCCTCATTGGTCCAGAGCATAAATATAGCTGATATGCTTTTTAAAGGTATGAAATGGCAAAGGAAAACAGTATCATGTTCATCTAGTTTTCCTTTATCAATACAATTTTATTTTTATTTAGAGCTTTTCATTAATTTTTGAACAACAAAATAAACTTCATTATATTACATATAATGGGAAAAGGAACATAAAACTCAAAAGTATCATTTCAACTATGATAAAGTTTCTAGACAGCTGTATTGCTATTTTACATATAAATGTAGGCTGTTTCAGGCCATTTTAGTAGTTTTAATCTCCCCAGCTTGTTTTCAGTTATTAAATTGGGTATAGTATTAATATTTAATACTTCAGTTTATATAGTCTACTTCTTTCCTCTCTTCAGAGTGCTAAGTCTTTGTACAGTGTATCACTTTCTCTCTCTCTCTTTTTTATCTCTTGTTCCTCTTTTATGAGCTGCCTTTTAACTGATGTGTGTAGTTTATTGTATATGTTTCTCCTTGTTCCTAATTCTGTTTAAGGCCTGCTTTCCTTGGTTGAACAGCACAATCTGTGTCATCATTTTTACAACTTACTTTTATAAGGAGTCAAATGAGTTTGCAACAAAAATAGAATAAATTTAAAATTTAAACCAGTAGACACCATAGCTGTCAATTAAATGACCATAAGGCAGATTTATTCACATGTTCTATTGTGGATATTTAGATTTAAAGTAATTTCCTTGTGATTGCTTAGATGTCTACCTGCTAGCTCAGAAAACAACAACTTTAAAACAACAGCAGTGCTTACTACAAAGTACTGTTTTGTATTGGAGGACTTCTTTGAACAGACAGTTGGAAGATGGATAACTATGCAGATATCTTATGCAATGTAGCCATTGCCATATGGTACCTGAATTTTTTTCAAACTCTAAAATACATCTGGAGAACTGCACTTGATTTTTGTATGTGAATGAAGAATATGCTTAGTGTTTGTTTATGATTTCTTGACTTAGAAAATTAGTAATATACATTGCTACAAAATAAGTAATGACCCTATTAAAACATTTTGAATTCAGCTTTCCTTAAAAGTAACTTGAAATAAGAGGTCATGATAAGGCACTTAAAATATATTTTTTAATTTTGTATTATATTTATTCTTTACATATACCAGAAAAATAGGTGACCAATTACTAAGGTGGTGTTCTATGCTCAGGTTTGTTGAAGGTGTCAGTTTTTGAAAGATGTTTTTCAGAAAGCACTTTGCTACAGGTTGGGTTGGTAACTTTAATTTTTTGAGGTGTGACATTATAATTCAAGTATTTATAGTAAGAAACCAAAAATAAAAGTATTCCCAAGTTACCTAAATTTTAATGTTTTTAAAACTTATTTTTAAACCATAAACTTTCCCAGAGTTTCTAGTTGAACCCCTTTATCTTCAAAACCAAATAGAAAATAGAAACTAAGTTGAACATAAGGGAACTATTGCGTTGCTAGTCATGGCAAAGGTCACATTCAGTGGTTCAATTTGTGAGTAACAAGCTTTTAAAAGCTATTTGGGGAGAGAACGCAAAACAGGAATAAAAGGATAACTTAGTTTTATTATTGTTTTAATGTTTTTCCTCTAGGGCTTCAACTTAGAATTCTATGTTCGAGTTTGAAACATAGTAAGAGGAAGTAAATGTTTATATTGATTACAGAGGTAACATTAGAATGTAGCAGCAGTCCTCAACCTTTTTGGCACCAGGGGCCAGTTTCATGAAAGACAATTTTTCCACAGGGCGGGGGGCAGGGATGGTTTTGGGATGATTCAAGCACATTACATTTATTGTGCACTTTATTTCTATATTATTGCATTGCAATATATAATGAAATAATTATACAACTCACTATAATGCAGAATCTAATGCTGTAGATCTGACAGGAGGCGGAGCTCAGGTGGTGATGCAAGCAATGGGGAGCTGCTATAAATACAGATGAAGCTTCACTTCTTCACTCGCTCATCCCCCCTCCCCCCATCCACTACTCATCTCCAGCTTTATGGCCTGGTTCCTAAGAGGCCACAGACTGGACCAATCCAGGGGACTGGGGGTTGGGGACCTCAGGGATATAGCTTTTCCTTTTCTCCTTTTTTCTTTCCTCCTTATATATTCCCCTTCCCCTTCTTTTCTCCCTTTCCTTTTCCCTTTCTCTTTCCCTTTTCCTGTTTGACAGGGTCTTGCTTGCTATATTGCCCAGGCTGGAGTGCAGTGGTGTGATCATAGCTCACTGTAACCTCAAACTCTTGGCCTAGCTATTCTCCTGCCTTATCCTCCTAAGTAGCTAGGACACTTCTGGCTAATTTTTAAAATTTTTTGTAGAGGCCAGTTCTCACTATGTTGCCCAGGCTGGTCTCGAATTCCTGGCCTAACAGGATCCTCTTGCCTTGGCTTCCCAAAGTACTGGGATTGCAGGCATGAAGCCACCGCGCCTGGCCTCAGATGTAGCTTTTCTTATAATAATATACTTAACTTTATGTAAAAGGGAGAAGTTAGAACAAATGAGAATTAATGAATTACAGTGGGAATTGAGTTTGATTCTGTAACATTAAATGAAATATTGGATACAAAAGAGTCATTCAAACAATAATGTAGTGTAACATTGGCTGAAATAATGTAGCATAACATTGGCTAAAAGATATTTAAAAGAAAGAGCTGGGTGCAGTTGCTTTTACCTATAATTCTAGCTACTGGGGAGGCTGACACAGGAGGGATTGCTTGAGCCCAGGAGTTCAAGACCAGCCTGGGCAACATAGGAAGATCTTGTCTCTAAAAAAAAAAAAGAAAAGAAAGAAGGTTATCACATTAAAAGTCAAGGAAATAGTGGTCTCACCTTATGACATGCATTTTAAATGTTTCTAACTTCTCTATCCCTTTCTCTCCACAGGTATATAAGAATGTGACTCTACAGGTTCCAGTGGGACTGACCATACATACCTCTTTAGTATGTTCTGTAACTCTGCTCATTACAATCCTGTGTTCTACTTTGATCCTTGTAGCTGTTTTCAAATATGGCCATTTTTCCCTATAAGTTTTATGCAGTTAAGTGCTTTCTATAAATCTAAATAAGACCTAGTCATTTGTGACTACAGGTGTTCTTTTAGAATTTACTTATTACTTTTGTCTTCATTTATGGCTGAAATTATGTTTACCAGAGGAAATTTTGGATCATTCTCAGCTAATTCCAAAATTTAGTGCTCTGTTGCGTAGACCCTTGATAATCCTGAAGCATCAAGTGGCAATAGAGGAAACTTAATTCTGTTGAATTAATATATATTTTGTGAGAAGTTGATTTTATCTTCATTTGGGATAGAAAAATGAGTTCTTTATTTACTGGGAAACAAATTATTCCTATTTTGTGAATAGAAAGCTTTCAATTTAAGCTAAAAATTGAAACCACCATTATAAATAAGAATAAAATAATTTGGATGAAGATCAATTTTATTTAAATGTAAATTTCATAAGAATATTAAAGCTACTTTTCCAGAGTTTCAAAGAAAATCATTAAAGTAGAACAGCTAGGAAATTATTAATATGAAAATTGATTATTCCATTTTAAAACCCAGGCTAGGGTGCAGTGGCAAGATCATAGCTTACTGCAGCCTCAAACTCCTGGGCTCAAGTGATCCTTCCACCTCAGCCTCCCAAATAGCTAGGACTGTAGGCACCCAGCTACTTTTTCTGTTTTTTGTAGAGATGGGGTCTCGCTCAGCCTGGTCTTGAACTCCTGGCCTAACAGGATCCTCCTGCCTCAGCCTCCCAAAGTACTGGGATTATAGGCATGAGCCACTATGCTCAGTCTTGGTCATTAAAAAAAATAATATCTTATTTTCTAGCTCCTGTCTTCTTTAATCATTTAAATAAATGTATTTTCTGTAACCAGTAATTCCAATATTTAAAGTCCATATGGGCTCCATTATTTTCTTTATAGTTTCTGTTGACTCACTCATGGTGCCTTATTTCCTCAGGTAATGTATTATAATTATATTTTGAGTGCTCATGTTGGGCTTTGGGAATTCTGCTTATCTGTGTAATCCTTTGAGACCTGGGTTAAGGGTGCACCTGTGCAGTGAGGATTTGTATTTGTTTCTTCCAGGCCCCCAAGTACCACCAAGAAAGTAGAACCGCTTCCTTGACAAATTTGAACTTTCAAACCCTTCTGAGGGAAAATTTGTGGTTATTAATTCTAATTATTAATTAGAATAATTAATAATTAGGTTCTAATTCTAAAGGGAAATTCTTTTACCCTCCACACCAAGTCAGGCTAGAATAGGCAAATGTTCTGTATGTCTCCCTGGGCTACTCCAGAGGATGTTTTTTCCTAGTGTTGAGAATGTATAGCCATTTGAGTTTCCTGTTCTATGCAGGATCACAGTCCCAACTTCTTTTATAGGCCCAAGGCCTTATCTTCAGTCTCCTCTCTCCTGTGCAGCCATTAAAAGCCTAGAGATTTCTGAGATAAGTAGGTACCCTCAATGCAATTATGGCTTCATTGCCCTGCTTGCCACTCTTGTTTTCTGCTGCTTCTTTGGGTTGATGGTGGAGTTTGGAAGACTACCAGAGGTATTCTCTTTTTGTGCTCGCAAGCTTAGTTATGCCTTTGAAAGGATGTCCTATTTTATCCAGTGGGGTTTTTTTTTGTTTTGTTTTGTTTTTTGAGATATGGTCTATCTCTGTTGTGTGGGCTAGAGTGCAGTAGCATCATCATAGCTCACTGCAACCTTAAACTCCTGGGCTCAAGCAATCTTCCTGTCTCAGCCTCCTGAGTAGCTGGGTCTACAGGCATGCACTACCATGCCTGGCTAATCTTTTTTATTTTTTAGTAGAGATAGGGTCTCACTCTTGCTTGGGCTGGTCTCTAACTCCTGAGCTCAGGCGATCCTCTTGCCTCGGCCTCACAGAGCACTGAGATTACAGGTGTAAGCCACTGTGCCCAACTATCCAGTGTTTACATGTGTTTAATAATGGGAGCATTTTTCAGATTAATAATGTGCCATATTGCTTCTTCATTCCTTTCTCTACTATACCCTCCATATCAATTGAGTTTTTGCTCTATATCCAAAGATAAGCACAATATGGCCAACTCTTTATTTCCACTGCTATCTCCCTAGTATCCATCATGATTACTACCTCTCTAGTTTATTTCCATTCTGTTCTTGCATTTCTGTACTCCATACTCCACATAGCAAAGTGTAAACCATGTAACATCACTTCCCTGCTTAAACTGCTTTAATGGCTTCTTGAAATAAAGTGCAGGCCAGGCACGGTGGCTCACACCTGTAATCCTAGCACTCTGGGAGGCAGAGGCGGAAGGATCGCTCAAGGTCAGGAGTTCAAAACCAGCCTGAGCGAGACCCCATCTCTACCAAAAATAGAAAGAAATTAATTGACAAACTAAAAAATATATATACAAAAAATTAGCCAGGCATGGTGGTGCATGCCTGTAGTCTCAGCTACTTACTTGGGAGGCTGAGGCAGTAGGATTGCTGAGCCCAGGAGATTGAGGTTGCTGTGAGCCAGGCTGATGCCATGGCACTCACTCTAGCTTGGGCAAGAAAGTGAGACTCTGTCTCAAAAAAAAAAGAAAGAAAGTGCAGTTTTCTTACCATAGTATTTCAAGATCCTTCATGACTGAATCTTGTCTGCTCTAGTGTTTTCTTATGTTACTCCCTTCTTGCACTAAGCCCCAGCTACACAGGCCTTCTTATTAACTAACCATAGCAAGCTCCTTTTTTCCTCTTCCTGCCTATAATGCTTTCTCCTGGATGTTTCTCATTGTAGTCTCTTTTTTTCTATTCTTAGCTTAAATGTTACCTCCTTAAAGGGGCCTTCTCTGGCCACTCTATCCAAAAGTACTCTTGCCCAGTTTTTTTCCTGATACCACATAGCGCTACTTAAATCATGTGTTTTCATATTTGTAAGCTTTACAAAGGCTAGGTGAATTGTGTTCATCCTTGTATCCCTGATACCTAAAAGTGTTTGGTACATATTGGACACTCAAATATTTGTAGATAAGTGAATGCATTGATGAACTCTGTGGCTAAAACAGGGAGGCCTTAATTTACAAGGAGAACTTAATTTAGCAAAATTATGGTAAGAGTTTTGTAGGTAAAAAGCGAAATGGATAATAGATGAATTTCCAGAAACAAATGTCCTGGAGCAGATATGTATAACAACAGCCATCGCTCAGCATCTTTCGTTTGCAAAAACCTGACTGGAGACAATGCTGCATTATATGAGGAACTGGCTGTCCTCAATACAAAGACTACCCAAGAAAAGCAGTGCCCACCACTAACTACAACTCCCAGCAGGCCGTGCGCGAGTCCGCCCATTGGGAAGAGGTGCTCGTCTCCGCCCCGGAGAGCTCCAGGCTTGGGGCGGGGAGGGGCGGTGTTCTGGCCCCGCCCCCGCCCGCTCCACGCCGTCGCCCTCCCCCAGGGTTGTGGCCACGCGCAGCGGCGGCGGTTGTTCCGCTTCCCCTCCGGCCGGGCCGTCGCCATTGCCGAAGGCTCCCTGCCTTCCCCTCCCTGGCGGCCGCAGGGCTCCGCTGCCGCTGGGCCTAGCGGTAGCAGCGGCTGCGCTCCAGCGCGGTTCCTCTTCCCGCCCCGTTTCCCCTTCCCTCCCGTCTCCTCCCTGCGCCGCGCGCTAGCCCGGGGCGGCTCCGCAGCCCGCCGGGAGCTCGGACGCAGGCGCCTCGCTGGGGCGGGGACCTTTCCTCGTCTAGGGTAAGTATGATCACAGGCCCGCTCGTCCGGGACGCGGGCCGTCTCCTTCCTCTTTCCTCCGAGGCCTGGCCCGGCGGGAGCGGCCCGGAACAGCCGACCTACTCGGCGCAGGGCCGGGAAGCCGCCACCTGCGCGCTTGGAGCCGCGGCTCCTGGGGCGGTGGCTCATTGTCTGCTCCCTAGGGCTGTTTTCTTCTCCGGCTTTAGCCCGAAATGGGAAGCTTGCTGGACTGGTGAGGTCTAACTCTTCCTGGACCCAGCCCTGCCCTGAACTGTGCCGCGCCACCGGCTGTGCGCTCTGTCTTCCCTTCCCTCGCGTTTCAACCTCTTGCTTTTCTCCGTTTGCTTTAATGCCGGACCAAACCTCTTAGATTTCGTTTCTTGATTTTTGCTTTCGCTGATTCTCAGCCTCTCCTAGCTAGCTTTCTGTTCACCCCAGTCTCGAGTACCTTTAACTCTTTTCTGAACTCCAGTCTGTAACCTCTTTTCCGTATTCCGCATTAGTAGAAACGTATAGTTTTCCGGGGAGTTGAGGGCCACCGCTTAAGAACAGAACTAACTTCAGACCTTCTCGTAGTTCTTGTTTGATCTTCAGCCAGGAGGTGGATATTTGCTTCTTTAGGTAACTTAGGGGAACTTAAGGTTGGTTTTTCACCATGTTTGGCTTTCTTTGAAACATACACACAAAACGTTGCCACAGACTCGTCGGTGGACTCAACTTTTTGACATTTTTTAAAGGTAAAGTCATCCAGGAACCGAGGTGTGCAGAGTAATTGTCATTGTCAGTTGGTGTGAGGTTGTGCCCATCCTTGTATCGAAATTTTAATGGGAATATTCTCTGGACAGTGTGAGTGTGATTTGTTTCTCCCTTGATAAATAACCAACTCCCATTGATATTATCTCAGTACTACTTCACAAGTTATCTGTAGTTTCTTACTTTTCTTTTTTAACCTTTAGAAAGAGACAAAATGGTTAGGCCTAAAATTAGATTACGAAGAGCGGTGTTTTGGATCACGGTTGTGTACGTCACGTTTTTTCCCCTGCTGTGTTTGACTCTTCCGCTCTTGTAAGTAGGCAGGATATTGAAATGTAGAAGAATTTGCTCTAGGGGTTTTGTTTTTGTAGAGTTGTCCAAAAGAATAACATTCAGTAAAGTTAGATTGGGATGAAGGCAGTGAATAGTAATTTTTAAAGCAGGTTAAAACTTGTCAACTTTGCCAGAAGCTCTGTGGCATTTGTAAAACACATCTTGTTCATATATATGTATATATAGATATGGAAGATCTTTTTCATGTTCTGTTAGAGATACTGATTTAAGGCAACTCTTTCACTTTGTTATCTTCAGCTTTTAAATTTAGCTGTTATTTAGCAAAGAACACTGATTTACATTTACATTATGAGAAATGAACTTCATGTTTTTTACCTATAGTATATGTAGGTCTTAAATCAACTGTTAGATTTTGGTGAAGGAGGTTGACCTAATTCGATGTATTTTGTGTTTTCACTAAATAGTTTTTTGTTACCTTTCTCTCCTGCAGGCTCTAAAAAAAAAATGGCTTCATAGTCAGCTTCAATACTATCATTTGGTAGTATCAATTGTCCTTAACTTAATGGATATCTTATTGCTCTTGGGGATTAAGGTGTAGAAATGCTGGAGTATGAACATTGGTCTGTCCATGTCAGCTTCTCTGCCTGTTTTTCAGTAAGCAGATATTTTTATTAAGGAAGAGTTCCTGGGTAGTTCACATCTCTTAGGGGCTTGATTCATGGTTTGCTATCTTTCAGAGAGAAAGTTATTCTCCTGGACTTAGTGATATTTAATACTAACCCTGAAACCCAAATT